ATTGAGGCTTGCAATAGAGGAAACGGGGAGACTAGAATCTCTACAGAAAGTCTGTACATATTAATTTCAAATTTTAATGGTTTTCTGCCTTATTTTCCTTTCTCCGGAAGGTCAGTTAGCCCTTGAAAAACAAATGCAATCTTAACTAAAGTGTAAGCTTAACTACTTACCTTTAAATGTCTTTTTCTCTCTCTTTTTTTTTTTTCATTTTAATTGTAACTTTTCCCATTTGAACTGGCATGTGAGCAGGCTGTACCAGTAAAATGATTCAGTGCTTTTTCTTTTTTTGACTAGGGTTTGAACTCCAGGCCTCATGCTTGCTAGGCAAGTGCTGTATGACTTGAGCCATTCCACAAGGCCTTTTTGTGTTGGGTATGTCCAAGATAGGGTCTCTTGAACTATTTCCCCAGCGTTGGTTTCAAACTGCAATCCTCCTCCCACATACCTAGGATTACAGGCATAAGCCATCAGTGCCTGTCAGTTTAGATGGGAACATTAGCATATAGGAACACATTTGCCTTAAAGTCCTTCAGAGGCATGTACAGTCAGTCACATGTACAAAAGTAGAAGCTGCACATCTGTGTTCCAGTAGACCCAAATTTCTAAAGCATCCCTGGAAATTGTCCTGAAAGCTGCTTCACAAAGTCTGGATTTAAGGCCAAGCTCACCCAAGTGAGAAACCTCTTGATTCTTTCAACTGCTTCTCTCCTCTGACCCCACCCCTGGTCAAAAAGAGAAAAAGAAAATGATGTATAATTTTGCCACATACCATAGAATGGAATAAAAGAAAAGTAGAGGTAGAAAGAAACTTTAAAGTACTAAAAGCCATGCTTAAAGTTTTTATATGACTTGTGGAAAAACTGTCATACATAACTCATTTGATCTTCATAATAACTCTATGTAGTTGATATTGTCTTCATTTTATATGTAAAGAAACTGTAGCTATGTGACTTGACCATGGTCAAGGAAAGTTCAAGTCCAATTTCTAATTGAACAAATAAGGAAATGAAGACTCAAGAGAATAATTTATAGTTTGTGGAACACTGGTGGAACACAGGTCTCCTAATACCCAGCCTTCTTTCCCTCTGCTTATTCCTTTTGTTTTCTCTACATCGCACTCTTACTTGGTTCCTCTTACATACCAGGCACTCTTTCAGGGCTTGATAGTAGCTTTAATTTATCTAAAACTATAATTGTTGTAAAGGAGATGTGTACAAATGCAGTGGGATTGCAAAAGAGACACCTTGTTCTGTTAGGGAGAGGTTGTCAAGGAAGAATTCCTAGAAAGAAAGCAAGATGAGCTGAAACCTGTACAGTAAAATGGTGCTTTTCATGAAGTAAATACCAAAAGAATATTCCACAAAGAGGGAGCAAGCACATGAATAATTCATGTAGTTATTCACCTATAATATGACTCTGTAGTACTATATATTAATACTATTGGATCACTCTCTACCTAGAGGTATAAATTAGCCATTGTCTATGACTTAGCTCCCTTTTCCCCAGACCACTTGCATAAGTAAGTTGATAGGCAGAGAGGGCATTAGTAGATTCAATACAGGTACTGTTGAGCTTTTCAAATTTAAGCTACCCAGGGCTGGGGATGTAGCTCAGTGGGTACAGAATTTGTCTAGCATGTGTGATTCCCAGTACTAAAAAAGCTGAAAAGTATGTAAGTAAATAAACAAATAAATAAGGATTAGGGGCACGGCTCAAGTGGTAGAATGCCTGCCTAGCTAGTGTGAGGCCTTGAGTTCAAACTTCAGTACTACCAAAATAATAAAAATAATAATAGTAATAAATTGATTCAGCAAAAAAATTGAGCCGGTCATCAATGGCTCATGCCTGTAATCTTAGCTACTAAAAAGCCTTCACAAAAATAAGGCTGGTGGAGTGGCTCAAGGTGAAAGCCCTGAGTTCAAGCCCCAATACCCACCCCCCAAAAAAATTGAGTTACCCATGAGACATCCAAGAAGATATGATGATGACATGTCTGGAGATAGTTGATGTCAGGTGAGAAGTCTTACATGTTACACATGGTGATTAAACTGTAGGAGCCACTGAGCTTGCCAAAGAAGGACTATTTATTTTTCCGTTGACTCAAAAGTAATCTTGCTTACAATGAAACGCAGTTAAATCCAAACGTACATTATAGTAAAGTAGAATGTAAAGGAAAAGGCAGCAATATTTAGATTCTATTTTTGTCAGAGAGTTCAAATATTTATTCTAATACTCATTATCTAACAAGAGATCACAGTTGTCTGTCTCATCTGTAAGCTGTGGAGCAACTATACGTTTCTCACTTTGTACTTTACTATTATTATGCTAATTTTAATATTTTATTTTTCCTCTCAGTTCTTCTTTTTGTTTGCAAAAGCAAAACAATTCAGTCAAGAGCAGAGTGGTTCATACCTGCAATCCTAGCTACTTGGAAGGTTGAGGTCTGGATCGCAGTTTGCTTCGAGTCCAGCCAGGCCAAATAGTTCACAAGACCCCATCTCCAAAATAACCAGAGCATCTGCATTGCAGGCACAAAGCCCTGAGTTCAAATCCTAATCCTATTTTTTTTAAATCAAGTTATTTTAAACAAAAGTGAAAATTATTATGAGGAGGTAAGGTTATTAGCCCAAGTCTAAGATTGGAATGATGTAGCCAGGACTCAGGAAGCACTACATTGAAGACTACACTGCTTTAAGATGGCCAAGATATGTATTTTCCCATGTCTGCCATTGCTTTGTGTCTCTTCATTCTTCGTTATTGGAAGATCAGTCTTATGTTCACCACATTATGGTTAAAGAGTGACTAACTGTAGCTTCAAATATTCATAAATTACAGATTCAGCCACACAGAGAGAATGACTTCTGTTTTGATTCACTGTTCAATTCTGGAGGAAATGACTTGAGAGCTGTTTAGTCATCTGTGGCCAGCTTATACCAGAGCATCACACAAACCTGAGGGGCAGGGAAAGGTACTAGTAGCTGGAACCCAATCATAATGACTTACAAGAGCCAGTTATTGCTGGGCAGTGGTATAATCCTAGCTACTCAGGCTGCAGAGATCAGGATGCTCAAGGTTAGAAGTCAGACCAGGCAAATAGTTTTCAAAACCCTACCTCAAAAAAAATCCATTACAAAAAGGGCTGGCAGAGTAGCTCAAGGTATAGGTCCTGAGTTCAAACCCCAGTACTGAAAAAGAAAGAAAGAAAGAAAGAGTACATATTGACTTGTTACTTTAGAATCTAATTGTCAGTGTATCTGTTTTCTTTATCTCTAGTTTCCCTAATTCTTCCAACACTTGTGCTCATACACACACACATACTCACTTCTGTATATGTAAATATGTACACACCCACACGTATTCCTCATTCCTTATACATTAGTTTCAATGTAACAGATCAGTACTCTCTTTAGATTTAGCATTAGAATCTCAAGCATTTATTCACAAAAAATTCATTTGTGATTTAGTTTTCATGTTTGCATTCTAAAAATATTTATTGAGCAGTTATTGCTTGTTTAGTACTAGAACTATAAAGCAATATAAGTGTATGATTACATACTTTTATTTTCTAAAAGACCTTCAAAATTCTTTTTTTTTTCCTTTGGTGGGACTGAGTTACAACTCAGGACTTCACACTTGCAAAGCAGGGGCTCATTCACTTGAGTCAAACCTTCAGTCTATTTTGCTCTGATTATTTTGGAGATGGGAATCTCCTGAACTACTTGTCTGTGCTGACTTTGAACTGATATCAACCTGATCTCAGACTCCCAAGTAGCTTGGATTACAGGCTTGAGCCGTTGGTGCCCAAATGACCTTTAAAGTTCTTCACCATTTTTTCAAATAAATACTTCACCAGGAATTGTACCAATTTTGACACTCAAATTATATGAATCCTAATTACATGCAGCAAATAGAATGGTAGTTTTTAGAGTAGGTTACTGCATCTGTCAGATTTTCTTCACTGTAACAAAATATTTGATATGAGCAATATAAAAGGAAGAACAACTTCCGAGGTTTCAGTTCATCATTGTGGGGAGGATGTGGGAGACCAACTCACGTCAAGGAGACCAGTCAGTAGAGACAGAATGCCTGAGCTATCTGACTTTCTCCTTCTTCCCCTGTTACTCCATCCAGGCCCCCAGCCCATGGGATGATGCCACGGACATTCAAAGTGAGTCTTTACCCCTTAGTTAAACCTTTCTGGATACATCCTCACAAACACACCCAGAGGTGTGGTTTACTAATTTCTTAAGTGTTTTTCAATCTAGTCAAGCTGAGAATCAAGATTAGCCATTATAGTTACTGTACAGGAGAAGATGAACATGAATTTGGAAAGACATGTATTAGTCTGGACAGCCATGTGTAAGTAGTCACAGAAGAATACTCTCTGAGAGGAGCAGATAGCACCTGTCACAGACCTCTAGAGTAAGCAGTGGTTTCTTGCAGCAAGCTGGATGATATTGTTAATAAATAAATAAATAAATACTTTTATTTTATGCAAGGTATATGTATTTATTATTTAAAATCAATTGAAGTGCTGGGCACTTGTAGCTTATGCCTCTAATCTTAGCTACTTGGGAGGCAGAGATCAGGAGGATGGCAGTTTGAAGTCTGCCCCAGGCAAATAGTTCCTGAGACCCTATGTTGAAAATACCTAACACACAAGATGGTAGGCATAGTGACTCAAGTGGTAGAGCATCTGCCTAACAGGTGTGAGGCCCTGAGTTCAAACCCAAGTACCACCAAAAAAAAAAATCAATTAATAAATGCATATATATATATATATATATATATGCAGTATGAGCTGTTTTGGAAGTAGTGAGGTACCTATTTCACAGCCTTTTAGCCAAGTGCCCAAAACAATAAACAACAGGGTGAGCCTGGTGGTACATGCCTGCAATTTCATCTATGAAGAAGGCCTAGGTAGAAAGATTGCAGTCTAAGGCCAGCTCCAGGGGAAAGCAAGACCCTATCTGAAAAATAAAATAAGGCTAAAAGGGTCAGACAGTGTGGCTCAAGTGGTAGAGCACTTGCCTAAGAAGCAGGAGCCCTGAGTTCAAGCCTCAGTGCTGTCAAAACAAAACAAAACAAAAATCAAGCTGGGCATGGTGGTGCATATCAGTAGTTCTAGCTGTTTGGGAGGCAGAGGTAAGAAGAGTTTGATCTGGGGCCAGTCTAGGCAAAACCACAAGCTATTTGAAAAATAACTAAAGCAAAGCAAAAGTAGGCTAAGAGTGTGACTCAAGTGGTAGAGAGCTTGCCTATCAAATGTGAAGCCCTGAGTTCAAACCCTAATACAGCCTACATAAATAAATAACAGGAATATTATCTAGGATACAGAAATAGCTTTGATTATTTCCATAAATTTTTCTGGCTTAATACCAACCCTAGAAAACATCTCTTAGAAGTGGGTATCTCCCATTTCCTTCTACAATTCACCCACTACTCTGGTGGGCCAGCTTGCATTGACTTTGTCTCTACTATCCTTTATTAGCCACACTTTAATCTTCTGCTCTTGATCACATTTATTCTTTTTATTAATGGCTCTGTCTTGCCTTTCTGTTTCTTTCCACATCTTATCTTATTGTTATAGACCCACATATTAATAGAGGGGATCTAATTATCGAATGCAAGGTGTTCCTGATGAACAGAGCTCACCTTTTAAGCCATGCCACAGGCTTCTTAGACAGGAGCCTTGCCTTAATCTAACTAATTATGAGCAGTATATTTATGTAATCTGATAAAAAAATCTGGAAACACACACACACACGCACACACATGCACACACACACACACACACACACATACACTGCAGCTTAAAAACTGAGTATACGACATAGGCTACCTAGTGGAGATGGCAGTTGATAGAAGAAATAGGATTCTAGGCAGGCAAAAGAAGTTAATGAGCATGTTTGTAAAATAATGGCATAGTGTATTTAGCAGAGAACATGGGAACAAATTTAATTAATTCAAGTAGATAATTTGATTAGATTTAAGTGGGAGATAGGAATGGAAATTAGGTATTATCAAAATGTGGAAAGTCTTTTAAAGTTTAGTAATTCACCTGCAACAGTAAGGTGCTATTTGTATGTTAGTGAACAGAAAAGTAAAATGATTGCAATATGACAGGAACATTTTTCTGATGTTCTTAGGCATAAGTGGGAAGAAGAGTAGTCTGTTAGAAAGCAATGAATTTGAGTAGTAAAAATGAAAATAGAAAGAAAAGGAGAGAGAAGAAAGAGGAATAGAAATTGATTCTATTTCAAAACTGCCTCTGGGTTGGAGGGTTTTTGAAAACTGTTACTATTAGCATGTCTTGCATTTCTTTCTTGTGGGATTTTGTTTGTTTGTTTTTGGTGGGACTGGGGTTTGAACTCAGGATTTTGTGCTTGTAAAGCAGGTACTCTACCACTTAAGTCATACTTCTAGTCCATTTCGCTCAGGTTATTTTGAAGATGGGGTATCCTGAGCTGGCCTCGAACCCAGATCCTTCTGATCCTGGCCTCCCAAGTAGCTAGGATTACAAATGTGAACCACTGGCACGCAGCTTAGGTTTAATCGAATGACCCAAAAGTTTCAGGAAAGAGGCCTGTCTACAGATTACTACATTTTCATTTTCTACAAAAAAAAACATTCAATGAATTGTCAGCATTTCTTCTACCAACTATAGTCTTTCCTCAAGATGAGGTTTTTTGTTTTCTTTTGTTTTTTTGAGGTACCTATGTTTGACCTCACGGCCTTGCTAGGCAGATGCTCTACCACTTGAGCCATGTCCCCCTAAGGCAGAGTTCTTTTGGGTTTTTTTTTTTTTTTTTGTGATACTGGGGCTTAAACTCAGGGCCTACCCCTTAAGCTACTCTATCAGCACCCCCTTTTTTGTGATGAGTTTTTTCAAGATAGGGTCTCACGAATTATTTGCCTGAGCTGGCTTTGAACCTTGAACCTCCTGATCTCTGCCTCCTGAGTAGCTAGGATTATAATCGTGAGTCACTAGCACCCAGTTTTAAGGTGGAGTTTTTTACTGCATGTACTCTAGGACCTGAACCTGGCATAGCTTATGGTCTCTCAGACATAGATGACTATGCTTATAACTAATACATTTTGTGGACAGGACCAGGTGTCTTCTTAAGAGGTTTAGAAAGGCATTCTGTCCCCCATTAGAGCACAGAAACTGCAATCCTAACAGATAGCCTCTATAATCACATAGCAAAAAACATTTCTCTTAACTACAGATAGTATTAATGACAGTGAATCTCATAAGATTATAATGGAGCTAATGTCATAGCCATCTTAATATTGAAGGGCAAAGCATCACTCGTGTGTTCGTGATGATACTTGCCAACAAACATTCTGTGCTGCCAATTTTATTGAAGTATAGCAATGCATTTAGGTAAAGTACATGATACTCAATAATAAATGACTTTTTAAGTTTATGTATATATGCCACTTTTCTGTTATTTTAGAGTGTACTCTGCTACTTATGAAACAGTTCACTGTAAAACATTGTGTTGTATATAGCAACTTCATACATCTTGTGCTTACCATGTCTCTTGATTGCATCAAAATGTTATGTCAAGTGACTGATCATCTAAGTTTGTGTAAATACACTTTATGTTATTCACACAATGATGGAATCACCTAAGGACTTGATTTTCATGATTTATTCCATCCTCTTTCATCTTTTCTTTTTTGGTGCTGTAACTCAAACCCAAGGTCTTATGCATACTAGGCAAGTTATCTACCACTGAGCTACATCTCAGCCCAACTGTGTCTCCCCTTTAGGTAACATGTAACTAATAAAAATAACAAGAAGTTCAGCATATTGAACATTCAACTGCCTTTTTCAACTCAAGTCATTATGACCGCAAGGCTTGTGCTTTATTTTTGAAATGTTTTTTTTGAGACAAGGTATAGTTTGTAGCCCAGGCTGCTCTCAAACTTATGATCCTCTAGTCTTAGTCACTGAAGTGCTGGAATTACAGGCATGTACCATGAGGTTTGGGTCAAAGCCATTTTTATTTTGTTTTGTTTGCTTGTTTTTGGCAGTATTGGGGGTTGAACTCAAGGCGTCCCACTCATTAGGCAGATGCTTTACCACTTTAGTCACATCACCAGTCCTTTTTGCTTTTATTATTTTTGAGTTAGGGTCTCACTATGCCCAGGCAAATCTGGATCACCTCCTCCTGCTTGTTGCTTACCTGTGTAGCTGGCAAGACAGGTGCCGTTTGGGAGTCTCCTGAACATTTTTGCCTGAGCCGGCCTCAAACTGTGATCCTTCTGATAGTCACCTCCCAAGTAGCTGGGATTACAGGCTTGAAGCACCTCCCCTAACTAAAGCCTGTGCCTTTAATCACTATACAATAGCTTATTTGGACAGACCAATAAATCCAGGTTTCAATCCTGTATAACTCTAATGATTTTTCCTGTTCTTAATATAACTAAATTAAAAAACATTTCTTTTTCTAGAACTGGAGTTTGAACTCAGGGCCTCATTCTTGCTAGGCAGGAACTTTACAGCTTGAGCCACTCCACCAGCCCTTAAAAAAACATTTTTAAAAGTTGTCCTTTAAAAGAAAAAAGAAAGAAAAAGAAAAAAAAGTTGTCCTTTGTTATCTTAATAATAAAGAGTTAAACATGGAATTTTATTTGCATTAAAAAACAATTTTTTTTCCGGTACTGGGGTTTGAACTCAGGGCCACTCCACCAGTCTTTTTTTGTAATGGATTTTTTGAGATAGGTTCTCTATTTGCCTGGGCTGGCTTCAAACCATGCTCCACGTGATCTCTGCTTCTTGAGTAGTTAGGATTGCAGGTGTGAGCCACCAGTGCCCGGCTAAAAAAATTATTTTTAATTCTTAGTTCTAATAGGATAAATACAGACTGTGGGAAATGGCATTTTTATAGCTCTTTAATTTTCTTTGCTGGTTTCCTGCCTTTTTAAAGAAAATTTCATGTATAAAAAATAACAGGAGAATATAATGTTTATCCATGCATGCATCACACACCTTAAATAATTATCAACTAAGGGGCACACGTTTCATCTATATTCCAACCCATATTCCTCTGCCTTCTACCAATTTATTTTGAGGCAAATCCCAGATTCTGTATCATTCTATCTGCAAATATTTTATGATGCATTTCTAAATTATAAGAATTCAGGAGGCTTATGCCAATAATCCTAGCTACTTGGGAAGCAGAAATAAGGAGGATCAAGATTCAAAACCAGCCTGGGCAAATAGTTTGCAAGACCATATTTTGAAAAATCCATTCACAAAAAAAGGGCTGGTGGAGTGGCTCAATGTGTAGGTCCTGAGTTCAAGACCCAGTACCACAAAAAACAAACAAACAAACAAAAACCCATGATCATATATACACATTTATATATAGAACATGTTTGTAATAGTGGAACTACTATATGACACTCAGGAGAGGAGGGAAAAGAAAAGAGAATGATAGTCAAAAATATTGAAATACATTACATCTGTGCAGTTAAGGCTATAATAATATGTACTGGAAACTATTGAATAATGGGGGGTGGGATGAAAGGGGTAAGGGAGAGTAACAGAACGGGGTTGAATTGATCAAAGTAAAGTATATTTACTGCTGGGATACATCAAGAAACCCCTTTGAACATTAGCTTTGGAATTAAAAATGAAAGCCAAGCCATTGGTGGTTCATGCATATAATCTTAGCTACTCAAGAGGCAGCGATCAGGAGGATCGTGGTTCAAAGCCAGCCTGAGGAAATTGTTCCTAAGACCCTATCTCGAAAAAACCCTTCACAAAAAAAATAAAGGGTTGCTGGATTGACTCAAGGTATAGACCCAGAATTCCAACCAAGGGGGTACTTATGAAGGTGGAGAGGGTGAATGGAGGACATGAAGGTGAGGGAATATGGTTGATGGGCTTCATATACATGTACAAAACACAATGATGAAACCTCTTGCAATTGCTTTAAGTGGGGAGATGGTGGGGCAATTTAACCAATGTACAATGTGAGGTTATTTGGAATTGGCTCACTGAATCCCTCCTATACAATGAATATGCTAATAAAATGAAAGAATTAAAAATGTAGCT